TTGACTTTTATGGGGCGGGTGGGTTAGGGATTGAGGGGGACAGAATTGTTTTAACTGCTGTCTTGTTTTAACTTTGTACACCGTCTCGATTGCCTTGCAGAGGGGCGGGTTAAAAATAAATTTTATTATTATTATTATTATTATTATTATTATTATTATTATTATTATTACTCCCCCCTCTGGGGTGTCACCCGGTGCAGTCCACATCCCGCATCTCCGCTCCCCTATTGATGCTACTGAGTTAAAACATCAATTTCAAACACTGAATACCATGTGGGACAGCATTGTTTTGGCTGCCCGTTGGAAGTGTAAAAGAGATGAGACCAGCCTAACTTTCTCGGGTTGTCCCCATCCCGTAGAGACTCATCATTTCCCCCCCTGCTAGGGTTCATGTTTCTTTAATCTGCATGACGCACAGAGATTAAATAGGGAATCACAGAAACAACTGCTGCCACATTTGAGCTTTCGCTGGCTGTGTACTTGGTGGGAAAATTCAATCTCATCCCTGGCAATTACACTTTTTTGCTCTCTCATCAATCCTCCATGCTAGTTTTTCTGGAGTCGTTGTGGGCTGTCCCCATATCAGTTGTACAGTGCATAGGCTGTTCACATGAGCCATTAATTATGCATATAAACCAGCTGCAGTAACATCTGCAGCAACTATAAGATCTGAAGAACACCAGATATTAGAACTGTCCTCTACTTCCTTCTGCTCTCTATCAAATGCACATGCTTAACCCTTTGTGTTATCTGTTCCAGAGGGGTCCTGAGGATGGATGTTAAAATCCAGAACATTGATATAAACCAGTGCACCAGTGGACAGGGATGGTTTGCAAACACACATCGGTGTGACCTCAACAGTACCCAGGTAAGGAGGATCCTTAGAGCTGTACTCCCAACTAAGCCAAGTAATAATGTTAGATTGATTAAGATACAGGCTAAGAATTTACTACCCATGTCCTGGAAGCCTTTCCACAGATATACCTGCCTTTGTAACTATGACTTCTTCCTACTACTGCTTTCATGTACCATTTATTAATTATTGTGCCTCCAGTGTCTGAGGCCTCTTTCACATTACACACTTATACTGCTATGATTCTACTTTAATTGCTATGATTGCATCCTGTGGATTGTGTGATTCATAGTCTGGTGTGGCATTAGAGCTCAATGGTTGAGGATTCTAAATACTTAATCAAACTATAAATCCCAGGATACCACAGCATGCACCCATGGCAGTTAAAGCGGTGTCAAAGTGCTATAACTGTCTAATGTGAAAGAGACCTTAGGTGCTGTGCATAACAGAAAAGGTTATAATCTGTACAGAGAGAGTTTATAATTAAGCACACGAGGATGGATTGAGAAGTGGTCAGTTTCTGACCAATGGGTGGGGGGAATCAAGGCACTGGTAGACAGAAAATAACTTAGCTAAAGAATGAGTTGAAATTAAATGTTGCAAACATTCAGCAAGCTATCAAAATTTAAACTTTTCAAATTTTCTTTTGGAATTTGACATGGAGGGATGCTTTTGGAGCATCTTATTCCTTCTTGATAGAGCTGCAATCTGTAGGAATGCTATCATCTGTAGGAATTGCACCACAGACAAGCAGCTCTTTTTGTGTATGTGTGTCTTATCAATCCACATGGCCCTTTTTCAATTTATTAGGATGCAGTGTAGGGACATTATCTGAATTAGAAATCTGGCCTCTGCCTGAGTTGATATCTCTCTCTAGACCTTCTTAACTGACAATGGAAATAACATCTGAGACAAAACCTAGGCTTGTGACTTTAACATCACCAATTTTCTTCTTTGTGATTTTTGACATCTTTGCCTGATGAAGGAGGCAGTGAAGCTTTGAAAACCTGCATGATTTATTTTGTACTTTTTGGTTGGTCCAATCACTGTTTTGTTGATTTTATATCTTGTGTTTTCCTGCATGATGAACAGCACCCATCTGACCTGAAATCTGACCTGTCGAAGTATTTCCCCAGGAAGTCCTGCTTAAAGGCAAAACTGGGCATGATGTTAACTGCATGAATGCAATTAATATGCAGAGGGTGGTGACAGGGTATGAAAATAACAGCCATGGGAAACCTGAACAGCTTGTATACCATGCAGGAGGGGAGGAGGAATTGAATTCTATCTCTTTCTACCACAGCCTTGTCAGGAAAAAAGCTCCTCTTGGAAACTGGTGTTTGCATTTTGCATGCAGCCACATCGGTGCTAAGGAAAGCTTCCTTTGATAAAACCTCTGAAGAAGCTATTTTCCATAGCAATATAACATTGTGCTCTAGTTGTGTATAGAATTTTGATAATGGGACTAGCTGCTTGTATATATGGTACAGAAGCTGATAATAAGCAAGGTCAATGACACATGGTGGAATGAGACAATCACCAAGTGGCACTTAACCAGCCTGAATCTTGCTGTGGAAGATCTTTACTAGGAAAAATAACAAAAGCCACAGGACTTTTGCACTATGTGCATTATGTGCAAAATGCATTATGCATTTTGAGCAGAGTTCTTTCAACAGGGCAAAAATCTATAAAAGCTTATATAATATGCTGCCACTGTAAATAAATAACCATATTTAATCTCAGCTCCTCAACATTATATTACCTACTAAAAAACATGGACACTTCAACAGTAATTTATTCTTTAAAACTCATTGATGCACAAAATATATTGAAAAGGAATACAGTGAGGATCAATTGTGGCTACATGTGATTTTTAAAGTGTAATTTTTTGCTGATGTCTGCAACATTTGTGTTAAATAATCAAAGGAACATCAAGGTAATATGGGGATTTATTGCTTGTGGGATGTTAACTTTAGTACAACATTCTTGTCAATTGGAAAAATAGTTTTAAACATCTTGAGGCGGGTGTGTTTTATCCCCATGTAATTCCTGAACAACCACTCCTTCCACACAGTTCTTGTAATTTATAATGTCCCCATAACAGTACCTTCCAATTTAAGGTATTTTCTATTGGAAGCTGAGTGGGTCATACCTGCTTAGTACTTGGATGGGAGAGAGCCAATGAATGCCAGGTGGTGCAGATTCTATTTCAGAGGAAGGAAATGACAAAACCACCTCTGAATATTCCTTACCTAAGACAACTCTATGAAATACATGAGATCACCATAAGTCGACAGGTGACTTGAAGGTGTGTGTGCATGCACGTACACACAAACTTTCTATTTATTGGATATTTAAATGGCCCAAAGGGCATTTTTTTCTGTAGCTTTTACTTTTCTGATTTTACACATCCTTGCGCCCACAAGGATAGCCTTTCTGGATTTCTCTTTTGCTCCCACTCTTTCTTTTTCTCTCTCTCTTCTGCTTTATGTTGTCTAGTTAGCACCATTCACAATCAGCATCCGTTCTCTTCCTCCGCTACTGCCTTCTTCACCACGGTTCTCTCCAGCATCCCTCCTGTGTCTCATTTCCCCTTTCCTTCTGGCATCTCTGTATTATCCCTCTCCCTCTCTCTGACCCATCTGCCTAATTCAGCTGTTCTGTACCTTCACTGCACAGCAGGGTTTTAACATGCAAATCTGCATTTAAGCACCTTTTACAGAGTGTTTGTTTATGCATGCGTCTCATTAGGAGTGCTGGGCACAGTCTGTCATGAGCAGCCTTGGACCGGGCAATCACTTTCAGCCCTATGGGTGGTTATGGTCAATAGTACTATAAACCTGATGGTATATGACAGAAACCTTCTTGGAAGGTCTCCCAGACACATAAACCAGCAGGTCTAAGGAAAAGAAGATGATGTGATATTCATAACTTTGAGAAATCCAGGTAAATTCAAATCTTCAGCAATATTTGCATTTGCAGTCTACCACTGATGGGGGAGGGAAGCATTTTAAAAAATCTTATTCAGGACCTGCACATGATTATTGGGTACTAAAGACAAAAACAAAATGCAAAGGTCTAAGTCCAACATTGCTTTCCTATAGGTTTGTTGTGTGGCTTCAAGTTGTTTCTGAGTTATGGCGACCCAAAGGTGAACCTATCTCAGTTTTTTTTTTTTATAAGATTTGTTCGGGGGGGGGTTGCCTTTGCTTTCCTCTGCAGCTGAGACAGTGTGAGTTGTTCAAGGTCTCCCAGTGGTTTTCATGGCCTAGAGGGGATTTGACTCCTGTGCTCCAAAATCCTAGTTTAATGCACAAACCACTACACCATGCACCTACTTGAGTAGACTATTGAAAATCAGTGGGGACATTATTTATGACTAAAAATCCCAGCCATTCCAATGGTTCTGTTCTAGCTAGGACTAATGCTATATTTAGTTGATCATCTCTACTCCCTAGCCTACCCTTCCCATGCATTATCCAATGAGAAGTTTCTGCACAAACCTCACTGAATAAATGGGGACTGTGCAAAAGCACTATTGTGACACAGACAGAAGAATGATATTCTAATAACATTACTAAGGAAAACCAGGATTTTCCTTGGAGCTAGGTTTATTTTGACAGGCAGTGTGGCATAATGGTTTGAGTGTTAGACTGCAACTCTGAAGACCAGGGTTCAACTCCCAGCTAAGCCATGAAGCCCATTGGGTGACCTTGGGCAGGTCACACTCTCTCAGCCTCAAAGGATGGCAATGACAAACCACCTCTGAAGGAGTATTCATCAAGCCTAAATACCTTAAAGGCACCAGATCACATCTGATCTTGGAAGCTAAGCAGGGTCCGCTCTGGTTAGTACGGTACTTGGATGGGAGACCACTAATGAATAGCCAGTGCTTTAGGATATATTTCAGAGCAAGGACCTGGCAAAACCACCTCTGAGTATTCAGAAAACCCTATGAAATTAAGGAAAGTCACCATAAGTCGACAGGTGACTTGAAGGAACATAAATGCACATATATATTATTCACCTTTGTTTTCATTGTCTGTCATTCTAGTGTATCTGTTCTGAATGGCAGCTGCTTTTCAAGGTCTCAGTGCTCAATCTTTTATACCTTTGTTATTGTTGTTTTCAGTAGACTGAACCTATAAATAACTCTACACAAAGCATTTGCTCCACCGCTGAGCCCTCCTCACGACCTTCAAAGCATATGAGCAATTGGGGAGGAGGAGATCTCCAGAGATGGATGGTGTGATGAGGAATTTGGGTAATCAGGGAGGAAGTCTTCACTCCCCTGGATAGCCCCTGACTGCATACTGTAAATTGAGCACATAATCCAGCTCTTCACATTGCAGAATCTGGACTGCTGTGATTCAGAACGGTTATTTATCTTTTAAGGCAGACAACCTTGTGCATCTAATGCATCCACAAAGCAACTAGCCAAATAAAATCATTATAGGATCATTATTTCTGTCAAGAAATAGCAGGGGTACATTTTAGAGTCAGCTTTTTGTTTTTCTGGTTTGTGCCAGTTTGGTTTACAAGATCAAAAAGCAAAATCTCAGCTAACTATAGCCAAGGAATGAGTTTTACACAAAGTGTTTGGTTAAAAGATCTTGGAGGCATCACTAACTATCAAGCCATTTGAACAAATCATTAGCAAGCATTCAGAGAAAATGTTCTCTATGCCAAACCTATGGGCCATATGAGTATTAAAAATGATATGCAATGCATATCATAAAAAAGCAATAAAGAGGCATATACAGAGGTGTAGTTACAGGGAGAGGGGATGAGGGTTTTCCTCCCCATAAGAATTCTGTCCCACAATGATATTTTCCTTGAATCCCCAAATTTCTAGCATAGCTCTGAGATATTAAAATAATTCACACCTTGAACTTGTATTTGCTGTGTTTGTATTCCCTTGGTAACTTTGCTTGCTCATTTTCTTTGGATGCCTAAACTGTACTTCTAAGTGCCCAATTGTGTTTCAAGCTACTGCTATGCTAGAAATTTGGGAACTAATGGAAAATTTCATGGGAAGAGCAGAATTCCTATTGGAGAAGAGCAACACAATTATTTTGTCCCCTCCCATAGCTATACCCATGGGCATATGTAAACAATCAGGGAAGCTGGCAAAGGAAGGGAAGTTACTGCTAGTGTTGCATAGGTAGCCAGACTCAACACCTCAACATTAGGAAGAACTTCCTGACAGCTGTTCAACAGTGGAACATGCTCCCTTGGAGTGTGGTGGAATCTCCTTTGGAGGTTTTTAAACAGAGATTGGATGGCCACCTGTCAAGAGTGCTTTGATTGTGTATTCCTGCATGGCACGGAGTTGGACTGGATGGCCATTGTAGTCTCTTCCAACTCTATGATTCTATGAACACTCAACCTGGAAGGCTTCTGAGATCCATTGCTAAGTTCCAGTGGTGTTGCACTGCTCTTACATCTGGGAATGCTAAAAGTATTCATCCAAGAGTCCTAGAATTTTCACCACAGTTTACCAAGGTACAACTTCCTTCTGCCAGCCAGGCATAGAGTTTACCTATTCCCATTTATTTCAATACTCTGTGCATAGAAGAACCCTAGTAGATACAGACTGAGAGGACATCTAGTTCAGATTACATTAGCTGCTGGCCAGATATGTTGAGGAAACCCTTCTCTAGGCTTTGCTGTCAACTTCTGGAGTGATACACTCACCCAACACAGAGGTTCTATTTAGAGATCATAGCTGTTGATTAGAAAGATCTACAAGAAAATGTTGCCATGTGGAGTGTGTATGCCATTTACTTATTCTCCCTCCCAATTTTATGTGCCCTCTCTACGGTCAGTCAGTATTGTGTATTCCCCTAAATCTGCTAAAGCAACCAGTGGCCTTTCCCTTTGGCAGATCCATTTATACCCACATCATAACACAGTGAGTTCTCGTTTGAATCCTTCATCTTTTGATTGAACAAGGCCGTTTCTGTTTTAAATTTAAAAAGAAAACACGATCTTGCATTGTTAATTAACAGCTCACATCTATCTTTGGCCCTTATTTCCGTTCCATCCTCTTTTCCTCATGCTGGGTAAATACCAGCGACACATGCTGATCATTATGTGTGTGTGTAATTAAGTCATTTCTTTTGAACCACAGGAGCCCTTTAAATATCCTCTTCCCCAGGCGTTTTTGACTCTGTAGGCTTTGAGGGGCCTGGATTGGATTCCAGCTGTTCAACCTGCCTGTCCTAACTGCATCTGGTGTAGCTTCCTTCACACTTCCTCTGCCCCAGACAAACTCCCATGTTCCTGATCTGTTTTTGCCTCTTTCTCTCCCATCTTTGTGCTACTGCATCTGCCCAAAACATGATCTTTTTTCCTCACACCATTTCCAATTAGGGCAGATATTTCAGCCGAGAATGAGGGGATTGCCGTTTGACCCCATGAATGGAAATAGATTGTGGGAATCCAAAACCAATTCTGTAAACTATTTCAATCATGCACAAAGAGGCCTAGTGTGACTAGTCCTTATTGTGCTTGCTCTGATACTTCCAGTATTTGTTGTTGTTAGCTGCTCTCAAGTCAGTTCCAACTCAT